CCACACCCACACCCACACCCCACACCCACACCCACACCCACACCCACCCCACCCTCTATAAGAGGGGAACGCTGTAAGGAGGTTAGGCTACAAGACCGTAAGGCTACATGGGGTATTAGCAATATAAGAATATAGCGCATGTGCATAGTGTCGAGTGTCTCTGTGTGTGTTACCGAATAAAAGATTAGCGTTTTGAGGTCATACGTGAAAGAAAAAACCCTGCCGTGCAGTATGCACGAGTTCGCATTAGTTTAGTATATATTGATAAGTTATAAGGCGTTTAGCTCTTACTTTTTTCTAAAGTTGTTGTCAATTGGCTAAGATACTATCTGTTTTCGGAATATGGAAGTCTATTTATATTTAGACCCTTTTAAAATGCTTAGATCATATTCAAACAATTCCTCAATGGAACAAATGAATGAACCAACAAATCCAAAGTCTCATTCATATAAACTCAGAAGAAATACAATAGAACTTTTCGTCACATCTCAATTGATGTCAATCGATTAATATGGTTTTTTTTTGTTTGTGACAACAAATAATAAAATATTTTATCTTAATTCTCTATTCTAATGAAAATTTTTCTCTTGTCAATATACAAATCTGATCTCGATTTCATTACTGATCATAGTCGAAGATTGTTTTTTTGATGAATAGCAAATACTTACAGAATAAATATTATTCTATTATGGAGTATCTGACTTTAAAAATTGTTTCATTAAAAAATAAAAAAGCAAAAAAAAAACTCAAAGCACCTGTTTGATGATTAAATGTGTTCATTGCTGCATATTGAGCAGGTAATGGTGGTAATGTACCCGAAGGTAATGTTAACATTTTAGCTTTTTTTTCAAGTAAATAAACAAGTACGCGGTCTATTTCTTCTAATGTTAATTGTCTTCCATCAGCCAAAAGACATAATAACATTGATAATGGTAATCTATCACCAAGATTTAATACTGGTGGAGTTATTTCTTCTTGAGTAAGATTACTTGATTGACGAGAATATGCATAGGACGGATTTGATTGAGAATAACCAATTGAATTATTATTTTCATGATATGAATTTATTTCTTCATTATGAAGACGTTCTTTATATGACATAAAATTTGTTATTATTATATGAATACCATCGTCCAATGTTAAATTACGATGTTCTAAAATGATAATAATTTATATTTTCGAGTGTCAATATAAATCTTAGTATTCATTGCAAGTAAATATTTTCATGATTGAAAAACTTCCTATTTAGCAGAGATAAATGATTGGTTGAACTATTGTTTATATGTGTTTGCATGATAATCTTTATCACTTATTGAGAAGTAGGAATTGTTTTGTATTGATCTACGAATGAGTCATTTATGTTATTCAATTCGATTTATTAATTCTTTGGCTTTTATAACAAGACATAACGAATGGGGCAAAAATTTTGTTTTTGATATAATTCTGCAATGCAATGTCGTAGAGACTTGATGTTTTTCGAAGTCCACACAAATCTTAGAACAAAAGATACTGAAAAACCATCCCGTAACTTTGATCATTTTTTTTCACCCAAAAAATATTTGTCTCAGCTGTTTCATCACTTATTTTCAAGTGCTATATATACAGTTGTTCACTACAACGAATGCTTATTAAAATAATTGAAATAGAAGACAATTTGATTTAAAAAAATTAATTGTTCAAATTTAACTTTTCAACACGAAAACAAACTTTTGTCTGAGCCTGTGTCCTATTCTCAAAATAAAGGACTCAATAAACTTTCTTTTTTATATAAAATATTTAGCTTCTGACAATCTTTCTCTCGGAGTAGAGTTTATCTTTTCGACGACAATTGACAGTAATGAAAAAATTCGCGACCTAAATAATATCTTAAAAGCATTGTCTAATTATAGGAAGTATTTTCTAAGGTCAAACAAGTTGCGGAATAGTTGTTCAGTGCCTTTTGTTCTAACAATGGAGGTATCTGTACTGTAACACAGTTCCACACTGCACTTTCATATCAAATTAAAGCACTCACTGCCAAACTCCCAAATTCAAAATATGATGTGCTGACAGCGCACTTGGCCTAGCGATAATCGAATTTCAAGGTATATACAGCCTATAGTGGTCCCTATAGGGCCTCTATAGGACCCTAGAAGCCCCTTATAGGATCCCTACAGGGCTTCTATAGGGGTCCTATAGGGTTCCTACAGGTCCTTGTAAGCTCCTATAGGATCCCTACAGGTCCTTTTAAGCTCCTATAGGAGTCCGATAGAGGCCCTATAGGATCACTATAGTGGACTCCTATAAGCTTCCCTATAGTGATTCTATAGGGCCTCTATAGGACCCCTATAGGAGCTTATAATGTCCTGTAAGGACCCTATAGGGGCTTATAGGGTACTATAGGGCCTCTATAGGCTGTATATACCTTGAAATTTGATTATCTCTAGGTCAAGTATGCTGTCAGCACGTCATATTTTGAATTTGGGAGTTTGGCAGTAAATGCTTTAATTTGATATGAAAATGCATTGTGAAGCTGTGTTACAGTACAGCCACCTTCATTGTAAGATTTTTCTGGACTTCGAAAAACATTTCCAATCAAATTCTTTTATATATTTTTACACTCAACACTTTGTTCTTTCTAACAAAAAAAAAAACACGTCAAGTCTCTACCGCAGAGTTATATCAATAATAAAATTAATGTAAAACTTTTGCTGCTCCACCCGTTATATTACTATCAAAGCTTTTGGATGATCTGTTGCTGTTAGTACATAGTTATAAGATGTGTGATAAGAGCAAATAATCAATGCTAGATGAAGGATTCGCATAGTGAACTATTACCCAGTACAGGTAAAGTGTAACGGAATTTTACCGAAATTAATTTTTCGATCAAAGAAATCTATACAAATAGACCTTCTTAAATTAATGTCACAAAACTTGTTAACACAATTGTAACTGACTAGGTCTTGTATAATCAACAGAAAAAACTGATTAAGTAATGTAAATAATCCGCTGTCAATTAAATAGTTATAAAACTGATGAGAATAGTAGAAATCTGACATTCTCTGATCTTTAATATGTTTAATTTTTCTGTGTATGTAATAGATATTTTCACCTTCTGTTTGTCCATATAAAATATGAAAAGATGCAGTACGTCGTTCTTCATGCATAGGCATTGCAATAATTCCATATAAACATTGTAAACGAGCAGCATTCTCAATAGCTTCTGTTAAAGTATAATCTTCTCGAAGAAGTATTATTGATGTAATAAGACCATGAGAACAAAGACGAGATTCAATTTCTTCAGCATAAATTCTATAAAAAAAAACAAAAAGAAAATTTTCTTGATATCTAATTCAATAAAATTAATAATACCTTTGTCGAATATTAACAATAATTATTTGACAATCAACAAAATCATTCGAATTTTTTGGTCCTGTTAAAATTGTATAAGGTAATTGATTATTTCGAGATATTGTATCATTATTAGATCGACAAGGATCAGGCCTTGTTGTTGATATGTCCATACGATCATTGATTTCCGTTCCAATTCGATCACTAAAATTTTCATATTTTTTTTTGTTTCAAAACCAAAAAAAAAGAAGAACACTTTTAAATTACGTTTCAGTTTTAAAATTTGATCTTGTACGTGTTGCAAATTTTCTTCGAGATGTTTCATAATTCGATGAATGTTGATGAAAATTTATTTCATGACTTCTTAATTATAATCAGATTTGTTTTTTTTTATTTATAAAAAAAAAAAACCAAAAAAAAAAATTACCTTTTTGATGATCGTTCTGTTGATGATGATGATGATGATTTTGTGCTTGTTGACCTAACATCTCTTGCTGGTAAAACATCTAAAATAGAATAAATATGTATAAACATCAATCATTTTAAAATATTTTGTTTTCTACCAAGTTTTTTTCCTTTGAGTATTAAAGGTATTTGTGCTTCTTTAATTAATTTTTTTGCATCATCAATTCGATTATATTGCACGAATATGTGATCTTTAAATACTCGTATGTCTAAAAAAAAAATATTCATTAAACAATATTTGAAAAAAAGCTAAAAAAGTAGAATTTTTTTTGTACCTGCAATTTTACCAAATGGTTTAAAAAAATTTAATAATTCATCATCAGTTACTTTTTCAGTTAAAACATTGCCAACATAAACTTTTGCATCAATATTTTCCCTAAAAGATAAATAATTAAAAAAAAAAAAGATTAGATAACAAAAAAAAAAAAATTTTACATTTCAAGATGTGTTCGTTTTCGATTAGTATATCGTTCAATTTCATCTTTACTATTTCGATAATTTTTATTTGAAGATGTATTTGACGATTTATTATGATCTCGATGAGATTCCGACATTGTTTATTCAATATTAATTATCGAACATTTATTCTTATTATTATTAATGAATTCTTCAAATTGATTAATCTATTGGAACATTATTCTTACAAATCAAATTTATTCATGTTTTTATTCGAAAATGCATTAATGTGTTGATTAGAAACATCAACGAGATATTTGAAAGAAATTCTATTGGACATAAAAAACAAAAAATTATGTTTTCTGATCGTCTTTTTATTTTCAAAAGAATTCTAGTCAAAGAAAACAAACCTAATATTCTAATCGATCTCGAATTTATTTGTGAATATTGTCACTACATGATGATTTACATATTTTTTTTTGATTAATATTTATATGTATACATACACATAGAAGTCTAGAGTAAGGAATATAAACCATTATTTCTTTTTTCTAGAAGTCTTTATACATTTGCACTTTCAACACTTGATCTTACCTGCTGAAAATGAGTTATATTAAAGTCTATGATAGTGATATTAGTGATCAATTTACGAAAGTGCAATTACATTATCAATTATATTTTTTTAATTATTTGCCTTACGTATTGATCGATGATCTTCGAGCTATTGATGAAAATGCCATTGGATTATTTGGTCTTGATAAAGAAAATGAAAGAGTTGCGTAAGTCTTTTGAATAAATTTAAAATGAATTGAACTTGTTGAATAAATCAATTTTATAAATTGATTTTTAATATTTTCTATAGTCAATCGAAATATGGTGAACGCTTGTATTTATATGCAATAGATGGTATTCCAGTCGAACATGGACGTTTTATATTAAACTATTCAAAAGGTAATTTCTTTTATCTGTTTTGTTTTAAAATATAGTTTGGGAAAACAAGCAAAGAATCTTTTGAACATTAATTTTATTAAATCTAGTTGAGTTTAAACAAGTGATTGACATTTAGAAAATATAATTTTAAAGTATTAAATCAGTTCTATTAAGTAATATCTTATAACAAACATTGAATCGTATGTGTTTCTACACATTTCAACTTTTTATTTCACTTATTTATGTGTATTAAATATTTGCTTTTTCTCTCAGCTAGGTCCAACACAAACAACTGCTTGGACACGGTCGGACAAAACTGCAGTGGTATCTGCAATATTCGGCGGTCTCTCGTTCACATGGGCAGTAGTGGTGACATTTTGGGCGGGCATGATAAAGAAAAATATTTGAATCAACCGCGTCAACGACACGTACAAAAAAAATAAAGAACAATTTTTTTTTTTAAACATCTATATTTGAAAAAGAAAAATAAAGTCAGATATTTTGAGCTCGAATTGTTTGTCATTTTGCAAAAAGTGAAAAAAAAGAATTTGATCGAGAATACTAAAAACTACTGATTCATATTTCGAATCATATTTTTTCTCTCCTCAAAACTCGTCACTTGTTAATTTTGATTCAAAATAAATACATCTCAAATGGATTATATAATGATCAAATAGTAAGAGATTAAATAGTTAAGAACGGGTCATGTAAAGGTATTTGCAAAAATATTCTAGAAAAGACGATAACTTGTAACTCTTTTGACATATATTCTATTTTATCACGTAAATATTAAGAGAATAATTCGTTCTACAAACTTAAGTAGATAATGTTTTATTTGAATGAAAATAAATCATATTGATAAAAAATAAAAAGATTAAATGAAGAATATTATCTATATTTCTATTAACAAAAAATTTTAATTGTGTTAATTATTTTAAAATAAAATTAAAAAAATGATTTAGTTTATCTAAGAAAAAAAACTAATGAAAAAAATTCTTTAAAAAGAAACAAGATGAGAAAGATTTAGTTGTTTTTGATTTGCAATTTGTTCAATTTGACAAAATAAATCATATTGAATATGTTCATTAACAATTGAATCATGTTTATGTAATGGATGATTTTGGACATATTTTCGTATCCACATAGCATTTGTTAACAAATTTCCTTAAAAAAATTTTCTTTAAGAAAATATTTTTTTTTGTTTTATAGAAAAAGAAAACCATTAGCACGTTCAGAAATAAACTGAATATAATTGTGAATTGTTTGTCTTGTTAATATATCAATATCTTCAAATGAATTTAAATAATTTAAACTAAAGACTTTAAAACAAGAAAATTTTTCCAAAGGAAAATTATTTTATTTATAAATATTTAAAAAAAAAAATAATTATTCTTACAGAACCATTTATAATTTCACCCATTGTCATTTCACGTAATTCATTTTCATTATTTGTTTTTTTCTAAAGATTTTAAAGAATATTTCAATTATTAGATTTTAAGTTCATTGAAATTCATATGATTAATTATTATTCGATCTTTTTTAATAACTTTTCATGAAGATATCATAGAAAAACAGAATTCATATATGTAAAACAATGAATTTTTTCTTCAAAAGATCCGATTCGAATTGTCATAAAGCAAACATTGAATTACGAAAATTTTTATACAGTTTTGTAGACTTTCAATTTAATTCACGTTATGTCATTGTTAATAACTGTGACAGATGTTCAATCAATGCTATATACTTAGATGAACAAATCTTATATTCTTCCGGATCGAAAAGCGATGGAAATTGTCTGATTAAATCTATATTAAATATTTAATTCAAGAGAAATCTTATCGAAATTCAGTATCGATTATCTAATCGACTCTGACAAGCAACAATCATCGGAAACATTTTAGATCAACAGTGTTATACTCTTATCTCTACACAGGGGCGTAGCCAGAAATTTTCCAAGGGGAGTGCCGATCCATTATGGGACGTGCACACCAGCAGCAAAATAAATTTTTATTTCTCAAAAAGATTTTTTACCGTACTCTCCTCCAGGCGGTTTTTTGGCCAAGGAAAGTGCCCAGGTACCCTGTGCACCCCCCTGGCTACGCCCCTGTCCCTACATCTAGAAACTGTTTCTCTATGCGATCATAATATCTTCTCCAAACTTTGTAATCATTATATCCGCACGATCATATTAGCTTTTCTAGATCTTCACAATTATTATTTGTTGTGAATGCACTATCTTTTCCAGATCTATGTAATTACTATCACTTATTTGATATTCTTCTATATATGCGTCGTTCCCATATATAAATACACAGACTTCTTTTGAAATGAAATGTCATTTTTTTTCAAGCAGGCAACAACGTACTTAACTAACAATCAAATTTGACGAGGATTTTGTCGACTATAGAAAGATCCAATATTATTATTTAAATATGGAATTTCAATCTAATCTTTATGTAAGGAAAGTTAGCAGCCGATTCGAGTATTTTTCATAACGATCTGTCTAAGCGACTAAGCCACAAAAGAAAACTAGTATGCCACCTGCAACATAAATATGATTAAAATTGAGATAATCGATTATCATGTTCGAAAAAAGATTATGAAAATGAAATCACTTTCAATGGAATTTTTCTCGAGAAAAACAATTTATCGACAACAAATCAAATTAACTCGTATATGATCAAAAGTAATTTTGATTATTGCTTCGACATTTTTCACTGAGATGCATCATTAGAATATGAGGAAAGGCTCGAGGATGTAGATGTGTCTGTAGGTGAAGAGGAGACTCCTTGCATCACTTTCAAACCAAACATAAAATCACACATCCCACCCGCATCCACATCAAAACTGCTGGCCTTAACTGCTGCTTGGCAGGCCATCAGGCTAAGCCAAATTTCGAAATTTTAGCTTAGCTCATACGTTTTGAAAATCAAAATGTTGACATATTACTTTATCATTTGAGAGTACTTCGACAAATTCATTCGATTCTAGTAGCAAATACTTGAAACGAACATCAATTTAGTGCTGTACGGCTTACTTTGACTAACAAAAGGACTTGTTTCGATTTAAAACAATTGGATAATAGATTCTGCGTTCGTTTAGTTGCAAAAATTGATTGTCAAATGTAAACTTCCTTGTCTACTATTATAACTATCACTTATTTTCTACATTTTCATTGTACATTTTCTTTTAACTCTTCTTTGTATGCCTAATCATATAAGATTTTTTGATTATATGAAACAGTACTGATATAATCAAAAACGTTGCATTAATTCAAGCCTTTCTTGTCTGAAAAATGTTTATCATGGTTTTCTCTTCGTTTTCATTTGCAGTTCGTGCAAGAGCTTGTTATTATCTTATCTTTATGGAAACAAATTAAGTTAACAGCTGAAACTACTATCCATTCAAAAATACAATGGACTCGATTGTAACTTGAATAACTCGAGAACGAAAGCAGCTAGAGACCTGCGGTTTTCAACATTCAAGAGAGAATAATATTTTATAAAAATACGATTGGTTGACAATTGACCAATCAGGTGAATTCTTGATGGACATTTTGAAAACGAAATTTCCTGAGACCTTCAATTTCGACTAATTGTCATTGGACAAGCGGAGAATAAGTCTGGGAAGGGCTAATTGACCATGCTGAGTCGACTGGTGATGTTTATTTTCAGTTGCAAAGTAATTTGAAAGCACTGTATTGAGATTTTCGAAACGTCACCTTTCGAAGGAAACAAGATAGAGACCTCGGTTTTGCGTAGATCCAGAGAGCCCAATTTTTTTTCATATCGAATGATCATGTCAAAGTTCAAAATCCAATGAGGAATCTCTTCAGAATTTCGTTTTTAAGATGTTCATCAAGAATTCATTTGATTGGTCAATTGTCAACCAATTGTATTTTTACGTTGTTTAATAAAAAATATAATTCTCTTTTGAATGCTGAAAACCCAAGATCTCTAGCCGCTTTCGTTCTCGAGTTATTCAAGTTACAACCGAGTCCATTGTATTTTTGAATAGATAGTAGACTTAAATTCAGAATTTGTTCATTTCATATTTGTCTTTTATTACAATGATCAGTTCAGTTTGTTACAGAAACTTCATTGAAGAATTATGGTGATATTAGTCCGCACAGGAACAAATCGATTTTCATTGTACTGCATAGTCTTGAAAATAAGCAAGTTAATTTCATACGGACTTCTATAAATGGTTTCAAGCAATCTTCTAAAGTATAGAAAAAAAACAAAGCAGTTATCAATAATTTTAAGAACGGAAATATTGAGAGTGTGAGGGCGTGTTTCGATCTCTCTTCATCGAATTCCACCTACCTTCACATTCCACACTTACACCATCCAGTCAAATCTAAGAATCGGATTTGGTGTATCGCTACCTTTACCCATATCTAGACACTAGATCTCTAAAACTTGCGATGTTAGTATATTATGTACTTTATTGATTAGAAATTTGAATCTAACTCTTGAATAAGGTTGAAATGCGTCATGGTATGCTTAACACAAACATACTCATACCTACTGAAATAATCTCGAAGATATAGGTATCTATTAATATTTATATTGTTACTATATAACTTTGAATTCTAACTATACCTGACGACGACTGTCTAAACAATAGTCGAAACACGTCATATGATGATTTGTTCTTTTGAATGAATAGTATGATCAATAAATGAACTGTGATGCAGTATTAAAATTAGCTCCGAGGTGTTGCTAATAAGTTTTTACAAAATTACTTATTTAGATCGCGAGAAAAGTATTTATAGAAATATCTTTCCTTATTCAATATCTATTATATAGATATGACAAGTTGTAATATTTCTCTCGATAAATATGAGAAATTGAATGTTGACATTCGTGAAACTTTCAATAACCTTATTATTGCAGTAGTATACTGTTACAGTCTTAAAGTATTACTTTACTATTAACAATTGTTAATGTATGATTTTTAGCTTGGTTATATAATGGATATTTATTTTTGGTATC